ATTGCCTAAGCTTCTCGATCTTTTGTTCTTACTAGGCATTATCATATGATAATATCGCATTTCATGTCAAAAGGAAAGTTGAAAATTTATGTATATATACATTTATATACACACTGAATTTATTCAAGAAATTCCTAGGGGGTAGGAAAAAAAAAAATGTCAACGACTATTGAAAAAGTTTTTTTTTTACGTAAAAATTACGCAGATCGATAGAGGGCCGAGTGATATGAACCAGCTACTTAGAAAACTCGACAGGTACTAAGACTGAGGGGCTCTTTTTTTTTTTTTTTTTTTTTTTTTTTTTTTTTTTTTTTTTTTTTTTCCTACCCCCCAGGAATTTCTTGAATAAATTCAGTATGTATATAAATGTATATATACATAAATTTTCAACTTTCCTTTTATTGCCCAAGGGCATTTTAAGTTAAGAGGGCTCTGCACGCTGTATGCGTTCTTTGCATCTGTGGCCAAAGGCCTTTTATTATACCACTGGGCGTGGAGGGACCGCCCTGCATTAATTTAGTATTTATATTATTGTTAGTGGGTGTGAACTACTGAGTCCAAACCCCTTCCCTCGGCGAGAACATCAACCAAGGGGACTTTACCTTGCCACCTCCCAGGCCTGGACGGCGGTACTATTTCCTGGAAAAGCGGGTTAGCACAGACCTTCAGCCCATCGAAAAATTTGACGTGTCTTCGGCCTATGAACTCAGGCACCGATGGGAGCTGAAGCTCCTCTCGGATCTTTACATTCTTTGCCCTTTGCAGGGTGGTACCTCTGACTATTCGCCGAAGGATGGATTCCCAGATCCTTAGACAACTTCCCAAAAAAGCAATCATGTTCCTCACATACCTGTATAACTGTACCTTCCGCACAACTCACTTCCCTCTCATATGGAAACACTCCATTATTATCCTCTTCCCTAAACCAGGTAAACCTGTTAATAATACCTCATCCTATAGACCAATATGCTTACTTCCGATCCTCTCGAAAATCTTTGAAAAAATCCTTCTCAAACGTATCTTACCCATTCTCGAATTCCACAATATCCCCTCCCATCAGTTTGGTTTCCGCTCAAGATATTCCACTGTTCAACAAGGCCTCCGCGTTGTTGACCATATATCCTCTGCGTTTGAAAACAAGCAATATTGTACTAGTGCCTTTCTGGACGTAGCGCAAGCTTTCGACCGGATATGGCATGATGGCTTGCTTTTCAAGCTCAAAACTCACTTACTCCAATCCTTGTATCTAGTCCTCAAATCCTACCTCTCAAATCGTTCCTTCCGCTGCGGCACTGAATTCTTCAATTATTATCCAGTTGAGGCTGGTGTTCCACAAGGCAGTGTCTTGGGCCCAGTTCTCTACATCCTCTTCACAGCTGACATTCCAACCCATCCTAATACCCTTCTAGCAACATTTGCTGAGGATACCGCCATCCTATCTTCCCACCCAGACCCTGAAACAGCATCCCTAAACCTTCAAAGACACATCTCCCTAATAGAGCAATGGTGCAACAATTGGCGTATCAAGATCAATGAATCTAAATGCAAGCATGTCACCTTTACCCTCCGACGCAGATCCTGTCCACATATCCTTTTCAACTCAGTACCTCTTCCCATCTCAGACACAGTTCGGTATCTTGGATTCCTTTTAGACAAAAGACTAACATGGAACCCACATACCAGACTTAAAAGACAAGAGCTTAACCGACGACTTGGCCAGTTGTACAGACTACTTAACAGAAAATCTAACCTCTCAATTGAAAACAAACTATTAATATACAAGACTATACTGAAACCCATCTGGACCTACGGACTTGAACTGTGGGGGACAACTAAATTATCGAACATCAAACGCATCCAATCCTTCCAGTCTAAAATCCTCCGTATAATAGTCAATGCTCTTTACTATGTTACGAATAAAACCTTACATCATGACCTTAACATCCCTTATGTCCTTGACGTTATTCCATCCCGATTTTCAAATTTTCATCAGAACCTAACTTATCATCCTAATCCCTTAGCACAATCCTTATCTAGTTCCAGTCATCCCTACAATCCTCCTCGAAGGTTGAAGCGGCAGTGGCCTCGAGATCTTTTGTAAAGACGTCATTGGAGTCCTGGCAATGGCCAGCTTCTCCACTCAAGTCATGAGCGTATGTGGCTTTAGTGCCCTCTCTCAGTCTCCACTGGATTCCCATCCTAGTGATGTGGCTGAGAGAGAAGCGCTGGGATCTCTTGGAGTCTTGCCTTGTCCTCCACACGTGGGGGAAAAGGCCCGACTCGGAGCTCCCTCGGCTGACTGTAAATATTGTAAATAAGTTTGAATGTGTTTTTATTTATTATTTTTTATTTAGTTATTTATTTATTTTTTTTTTTTAGTTTTTATTTAATGTTATATCAGTTTGATTTATTCTTTTACTCCAAGTTTTATTTTATGTTATTTTATTATAATCTTGTTGTTCTTTTATTGTATATATGGTATGATTGTACTTCATTCATCATAAATACTCAATGCCCTTAATTGAGGCAAAATGTATTTTTTCTTTATCTCAATAAAAAAAAAAAATATATATATAGTAGTATAATCCCTAATAATGTATAGGTTAAATGTACAGACGCACTTTCAAATCTCTCTGGGCTTATATAGCTCAGCGACTTAAGTTATGGGGTTAAAAAAACAGATGAAGGAACGAGATTTATGTAATGAAGAGAAGGATGGTTGGGGTGATTAGGAATAAAAAATAAAAAATAAATAATAATATTTATTTTATTTTCATTTTTTTTTATTTTATTTTTTTATTTCTTATTTTTATAGCTTTCCGTAGAGATAATAAATATGGTTTGAATTTTTTTGATGGTCTTTATGAGCTGATATAGGTTAGATGTATGGTTTAAGGTTCAGCTCCATTAAAAATGCTCTTCAAAAACTTTATCAAAGCCCAACACTGCCGGACAATAATTTTTATTCAAAGCAGAGCTGTAAGTGAAAGTTTTATTTGTGCTCATCAGATTTTTAGAATTCTTATGGTATAGTAGAAGTTATGATTTTATATAATTAATGTAGATATAATCTCCTATTACACAAAACCCAATATTTGACGCAATTTCCGCGATAGAAAACGTCACATCTTTACAATTTACAGCGTCGACGTGGCGACAATTGCCGCGGTAATTCTGGAGACGAAGCTTAACTAATTCCTCAGATTTAATGTGAATTATTAGTTTTCAGTTTAACGTCACTACATATTTGATGATTCAGAGACTAAAGACCTTGATTGGGGTTTTCTAACATGGATTCACTTAAATAAATTTGTATTTAACTAATTAATCTAAACAAATAAAACCTATTGACAACCTCTGTAAAATATATATGATTCCAAATTATAAACCAACGCTACTATAATTGAAATTTCAGAATTTATTTGGGTCAGTAAAAGGGAAGGGAATGTCACAGATTTTATTTGGGGTCCGTCTCGCCGATATAACGGAATAAAATCCGATAAAATTGAGAATAGATACGTTACCTAAGTTAAGATGAATAATAATTTTAATATTTATATAGAAGGTGCTGTGAAGAAAAAAAAAACACGGAACAGTAAAATAATCATTAATGAAATAACACATAATGATACATTATAAAACATAATACATCTGCCGAATGAGGACAGTAGAGCTTCTTCACCATTTTCACCGGTCCCACACCTACCTAAATCAAAAGGCTAATATTTTTTCGTTTATAAAAAAAATCTTAGAGTGAAGTCATGCTCGAAAATTAAGACCGAAAATTCCACAACATTCATGGATTGGATATCTGGTTTTGATTATCATCGAAAAAAAACATTGAAAAAATTCGATTATTAGTTTGTTCGGTGTAAACAAAACTGATATTTTCCAACATTCAGAACAAAATTAATTGAAGTTGGAATATGAGAAATTTATTGAAGTTTATAAATTACATGAAAAGAAGGTCTGTGCATATATAAAATTTATTGACATATCTCTTACACTTCGACATTAACTAATTCAAAAAGCTGAGCACTTACTACTTCAATGTTTAAGATAAAAATCGAAACCATAAAAATTTGGTTGATGTTCAACAGAAACAAAAAAAAAATTGACAACAGAATACAATTTAAAATAAATGTTTAAATAAAGTCTTAAATCGTATAAAACTAATCTCATAAAAATATAATAAAACTTTAACGTTTACAAATATTCAATGCCCTTTACACCCCATAGCCATTGTAGTTCAAATAATTATTTATATTAATTATAATTGTTGCATAGACTTTAATGGAATTGATAATAGGCAATTTCTTCACTAATGTTGCACTCCAAATTTCCATCAAATCTGTATGAAATCATGGAAAACACGTTTTCGTATTAAAAAAAAAGAGAAAGTTGAGTAGAGTTCAATAAAATCGATACAGCACCATTATTTAACCAATGCCGACCTTTCTTTTAACTTTGAGCCAAATCGAACGAACCTTTTCTGAAATTTGTGCATATCTAAGAAAATAAAAGTGCGTGAAAGTACTGTATATAATTAACTGAAATTGTTATGAAACCACTGAGGCACTAACCCATACAATTACCGAAGATTTCATGAAATTTGGATAAACATTAGTAGGTGATATGTCCGTCACATTGGTTTGACTACAAACAGACATACCAAGACACTCAACTAAATTTGATTCTTCATGTCAGAAACATAAAACGTGAGAGGAAATTTTCAATTCTGAGATCAAATATTTTTTTAACCTTCCACAAGAATACAAAGCGTCTATAATTTAGATAGTTAGGAAGCTAAAACTTGAATGTATTTGTATTCATAATTAGAGGCATACAGTCCTTTGTGAAAACAACATTAGCTGGTATAAGAAGGAAAACACAAGGCTGAAATAGTCTAATTAACGAACCAATTTTGCTTTGAGGTTAACCTGAGGTTTAAGGCATCCTTAACGTAGTCAGCCATCAAAATGTAATTCCCTCGAGCAAAGTTACTCCAAATCAAAAGAGTTGTCTTTGTTTCGGGGTTGACGGCATTCTGCGGACACCGCACTCTTTTCGAAACCGCATTTGTCGTTTTGTGTTAAAAGAAATCGTTTTTCATTATTTATCTCTGAATCATAAGTTCTGTCAATGTAAACTTCCTAGCAAAACAATATCATTTATACGTTGTTTTTTTTTTTTTGTTTTTTTTATATGAGCATGTCTGAATGATTATATCTAAGGAAATAGACAAATTATTTTCACTAATTAATATATTTTTTTTTAAATTTACGATTTTCATAATACAAAATTTTCTATCAAAAGAGGTAACTAGGTGAGATAACTTAAAGAAAGCTGGAGAGACTGGTGTGTGTGGAGGAGAATTGTTGAGGAGGTCTTGAAATTTGTGTCTTAAAACTTTGTATTTTATTCGCTTAAAATAAGTGTATAATGTAAATGAATAATTTTAAAAAAGATGGTAACAATTATCTTATTTTTTGCTCAAATTTTCATAATTTTCTTATTTTCACAAGATGTTCACTTACAATTATTATCATATTTTAAAATTTATCAATACCTTATTATGACCTTATAATACATATGAAAATATATCCATTAGATACATTACATGATGATATATAATGTATGAGCTCAAAATTTAGTATGTTCACATATAAACATTTTATTTAGACGTGTTATAACATTATAATCAGAGTCGTAAATCTTGTGAAATTTACGAGTAGAGGTTAAAAGTAGTTAAAGAATCCTAACACGTCAAGAACACTTAAGAATCTCTTCTACATTCCTTTGAATAATTCATGATACTGAATTTTCGTACAAGTTGGCAGGATTTCATCGGATTTAGACCCATTGTCTTTTCTTCTAGAACAAGGAAAAGACAAGAGATTTGTGTGTGTGTGTGTGTGTGTGTGTGTGTGTGTGTGTGTGTGCGCGTGTGTGTGTATGTGTGTGTGTGTGTGTGTTACAAATAAAAAAAAAAGATGAAGCATTTTTTTTTTTTTTTTTTTTTTTTTTGTGGCATTTAGGTTTCACATGTCGTTTTATTTCTATACATTAATCTATTTTTGAACATATCAATGGCAATTCTGTCATTTTTTTTCATACATTATATAAATGTTTTGAAGAAAATAAGAGAAATTAGATATTATTTTAATAATGTCTTATTACTTTGAAATATTAATATTAGACAATATTTAGGAAATTTATTCATCTATTTTCTTTTCCGTCTTAAGAGCCTATTAAGAATTGTGTTACTTTGATTTCTCCAAAATACACAATAGATTATTTTATTCGAATTGTACCTGAATATGGTTCATTTATATCTAGTATTTGGTTTTTTATGGAAGGAGACAAATTAATTATTGCTACAGAGATAAAACGTAATATAAGTTTCAATATTTTAGCAAGTATTTATTGAAATTACATTAAAAATCGAGTAAACATAGGTGATACCATGTTTATAGGGATCAGGTAATTGATTGTTTTGTTTTATGATTTTCAGTAATGAGCACTTGTAATAAACATATAAAAAAACAAGGTTAAGCCTCCCTCACATTTTAGGTTTTACGTTCCACGGTACGTAGAATCCAAATATCCAATAAGAATAAAACTTCTTTCACCATCTGCGGCTTTTCCAAAATTACTGGGTCGATTTATTTTAGAGGCATAATCCAATTTGAGTCGCTAAATACTGTTTGGTTTCTTTCCCTACTCCTGTAATAATAACTAGTCACTCAATAAAAATGAGACCGACAACATTTGGGTTGACACACGATAAGGTAATTTTAACATATATGAATCTTTAAATAAGAAGGAATTGTGTAATAATTATATGACAAAATAGATAAATGTGGACATGACAATCAAGATAAATTTATTATCAGTAGACACATGTAATTCGCATAAGAAATGAAATGTACAGGAACACGATTTTTAGATATGATGGTAAATTTGACGAGCCTGATCATTTTAATAATATGTATTCATTAAGTTGACCAAATTAAAAATTGGTGTAAAGTGGCTTAAAATAAATAAATTGGAAACTAAATATAATTATATAGTTAATTAATATCTCGACCTAATTATTTGGCTTGGTAGTGTTTGATTAGTACTTCCTCTATTTACCTTGATTCAATTGATATCATTCAATTTCAGGATCTTCTCCAGAGGATTTGAGAGGAGTCAGTAATATTATTATATGTTGAATCCGTTTCCCTTCCCTTGTTCGCTTATCTGTGTCACTTAATTCTAATTATTGATTATTTGACTGAAAATATTATTTAATATTAATTATTTTAGTAAAAACTATTACTTCTCAATATTATAGGGTTAAATTTCATATTACATAAATATCTATGAAGTGATCTCGGATGTATTGTAATAAAAGTAATTGCCTAAATACACATCTGATGTATAAAACAAAAAAAATAAAATAATGATTTTTCGAATATTTTTCATTGAAATGGTTATGAAGGTGTGTTTTTCTCTAAGATTTCTGTCATAGAAATTTATCTGTAACAAACTTTATGTTTCTAGTCCTAAAATTGGCGTTTAAAATAAAGAAACCTATTGGTTGCTCCAACTATTTTCATGAAAACGTAAATATTATAGTTATATCATAATAAGCATATATATATATATATATATATATATATATATATATATATATATATATATATATATATATATATATATATATATATAAGAGAATTTCGAATGGAGAGAACCCCGTTACCGTATGGATGGAATGGTTATATGCTGCCACCGCCTTCCGCATTGCCATGTCTGGTTCCAGCCCTTTTTCCACCAGGTTGCTCTTTTTTTTTTTTTTATTTGTTTTCCACCCTCCCATGCCACCAGGGCAACACGGGTGTATGCAGTAGTGTGATGTTAAGCATTAATGCATAATAACACACTACTGCCATAATATCAGTTTACAAAATTCTAAGCTGTGCACACAGCTAGCTCTTCTACTTTTTCCTGGCTCCTTTAGGCCTGGCTTCCCGAATCCGGAGGTCTTCCTGGGACTGGTCCTCTTCTCCTTCTGCGTGCACCTAGGTTGAAGTGAGCTGGGCCCACCGCCGTCTTCCAGCCATTTATAAACTCTTTGAACCGCGGGAAGTTTTCTTCACTCACCAACTGAGGAAACTCCTCCTCAGTGAGGACGTAAATCCCCGTGGTTCTCATTAACCTCGCTCTTAATTCGTCGAAAGCAGTGCAGGCCGTGACCACATGCTCAACAGTCTCCGGAACACCACAATCGGGGCAGTGGGGATCTATATCCTGTCCGTAGCCATGGAGTTTAGCTCTGAAACCCCCATGTCCCGTGAGAAATTGTGAAACCCAATAGTCCGGGAGGACCCATTTCGCCTGTAACCGAGATTCAACGGTGGGAAAGTATTTTCTTAAGGTACTGCCTTTCGGAGTCGTCACCCACCGTCTGCTCCAATCTTCAATTGTTTCCTCCCGGATAATCTTTTTCCATTTATTTGGGTTTTCAATAATCCTCATCCGTAGGTTCTCCGATAGACTAGTTGAGCCCTCCTTCTTGTAGTCATACCTGGTCACTTCTTCTCGCAGGAGGAGGTCGAGAGGCACCACCCCCGCTAAGACCTGCACTGCTTCATGCGACGTAGACCTATATGCTCTGGTGACCCGAAGCAGAGCAGTTCTCTGAGTCGATGCTAGCCTATTTCTTTGTCTGAGTGTGAGGTTTCGGAACCAGAAGGGAGACGCATACCTAAGGATACCCTCCACAACACCCTTATAAATAGTGATAGTGGCTGGATACCTAAGGCCCCAAAATGCGCCCCCCACACGACTTAGACCGTTCATTGCTAGGGCCACCCTACCTGCCAGATATTCCAAATGAGGCGTCATATTGAGGCCTACACCTAACCTAACCCCTAGGTAGGTTACCACCTCACTTGGACGTATCCTCTGACCTTCTATGTACATCGTTATAGGGTGTGCCCTATCAGTCTTTCCCTTAAGGAGGATGGCTTGAGTCTTAGCAGCAGCCATCCTCATCTTCTTCCCCTCACACCATCTAGCGACTAGGCTGGCGCATCGCTCTGCTTCTCTCTTGACTCCAGCTCTGCTGTTGGAGGCCACCACAGCAGCTAGGTCGTCAACGTAAGCAGTGGCAGGAAACCGCTCCTCCTCTAACACTCCCAGTAACTCATCAAAGACGAGCTTCCATAGAGCAGGACCAAGCACCGATCCCTGAGGGCAACCTCTCTCTATGGAAGCTTCTACCTCGTAGTAATTGCCTCTAATCTTGACACTTCTATCCTGGAGATAACTTCTTACTAATGTGTATAAGTTACTAGGAGCATCATACCTCTGCAGCTGCTGGAGCACGCTAGGCCACCATACGCTGTCAAAGGCGGAGGATATATCGAAAAGAAGCAACATGACATACCGCTCCGCCCTCTCCTCAACATCTCTGCGCACTCTCAGCAGGGCATCAGCGGTTCCTCTGCCTCTGGTTGATCCATATTGCCGTGGATGACTTGCTCTAGCGAAAACAGGCCGTAAACTAGTCATCATGAGGTTCTCCAGGACCTTGCTAATCACAGGGAGGAGACATATAGGTCTATATGAATTAGGGAGTTGTTTGTCCCTATCTCCTCCCTTGTAGAGTAGTCTCAAATCAGCGATCTTCCATCTTCTTGGAAAGTATCCCATATCCAGACATTCATTGAAAATACTCAACAGCCGGTCTTCAATATACGTGATACTGTTCCTCAAGATCGCTGCATCTATTGCATCAAGTCCTGGAGCACGATTAGTCTTCTGCTTATCCACGGCAATACGAAGATCGTGAATGTCCCATGGTGGGCACAAATCTGAACCAGGTGGATATACCGTGGTGCGTCTCACAAAATCATCATTTTCGCTGTCCTGGGTTGGGTCATCTCTGGGATATATTGCTTCAATGAAAACATTGGCAGTTTCTTCAAGGGTGGTTGCCTCAGTATTATGATACCGCAAGGCTGCAATAGTCTGCATCGGGGACAACTTACCCAATGCTACCCTATACGGAATACCCCAGGGATTCTTCAAAGACTCTTCAATGATGAAATCATCCCAAGACTTCCGCTTTTGTGAGCGAACCTCGTTTCGGTATATCCTGGCTTTTGACTTGTACTCATTGCGAAGTACAGTGCGCCTCTCTTCGCATCTGCACCTCTGATATGACCGCCGGGCCTTGTAGAGGTCTCGTTTTAGAACAGTTAAGGCTGGCGTCCACCATGGGACAGGTCGAACCCTCGCCTTCCGGTGCTTGAGGGAGTGTTCGGCAGCATCACGAATGTTGTTGGTAATCCTGGACACCTTGTAGTCCAGATTGTCAACTACATCCATCTCTGCCGCTTCCCACTCCTCGTCTGCAATCACTCCTTCCAGGTAGGACCTGAAGACACTCCAGTCATTTATTTTAGTGACGAAACCCTTATCAGTACCGTGGGAACATCCTGGCTCATTTACCAGGCCAATTGCTATCGCAACGTGATCGGAACTCGTATCAGATCTGAGAGTCCAATCAGCAATATACCTCGTAAGCGCAGGCGTGGCGATCGTGACGTCAATCCAACTCTGCCCCATGCCTCCAGAGAAGGTAGGGGTGGCAGAGGGTTCGTTCATCACGACAAGGTGATTTCTGCCTATGAAATTTCCCATTTTAGCGCCTCGCCTGTCAGTAATATTGGACCCCCAGACCGTGTTCCAGGAGTTGGTATCTGAGCACATGATCACATTCCTCATCTCTCTAATGATCGCCTCCATAGCGGATATGCTTTCTTCTACATCACTATTCACAGGTAGGTATGCCGATACCAATGTGAAAGAAATCTTGCCCCACTTAACATAGCAAGATGCATAATCCGCCATGGTGTGTTGTCTCAGATCCATCACGTCAAGGTTAGGATTATTAATCACTATTGCAGCCCTGGGCCTCCTCTCTCCACTGCTCAGGGCTATAACTCTTGACGTGAGGCCAAACCCCGTAACCCTGTTCCCACGGCAGCTAGGTTCCTGGACCGCCATGATATCGTAGCGTTGTGCCATGGCGCGAAGCTCGTCAGCCACAATATGCCGGCGGCCCATATTCAACTGCAGGATGTTGAGTCTAATCATAGTGAGTTCTCCTCACTAATTCTTGAGATCTCTTGATGTGCACTGGGCATTCTCTACTTCCTGCCTGGTGTTTAGCCTTACTTTTTTGAACACCTTCCCTCACGCAGTTAACGCATGTAGGTGCGGTCTTATTTCCTTTTGCGGGACAGTTTTTAGCAATATGCCCACTCGCCGCACACCACTTGCATACTATGCCATTTGCCTCACAAGTAGCTTTTGTATGTCCATATCCCTGACACCTTAGACAGGGAGGAGCATCGGGGTAATCTAAGATTGTCAGTGACCACCAACCTCCTGTAATTATTTCCTCCTTGAGTAGATTATATCTTACCATTGGATGTACTTCTAACACCCAATTATTGGTAATTTTATTTCTAGCCATTGATGAGAACAATGGCTTTATATTACCTAATTGGTTCTCAGAAATAACGGCCGATTTTGCAGCCAACCTTTCCCATAGCACCCTTTCTAGATTTTCCGCACTCCATGAAAGGGGAACTCCTTTTACCTCCACTTTTGGTTTTCTTTTTAAGGCTAGTTTTGCCTCCATCCCAACTTCTTTTAATTTTTGCCATTCAATTATTTTTTTCGCATGGGCACCCTCATCTACACAAACTAAAACTGAGCCAGCTTTGGTCGCCCGTACAACTCTCGCCTTGACTCCTAGTTCAGTTGGAGAAGGCAGATTGTTGATGATGTCAGCTGCACTTTTACCTTGAGAAGCGATGGTAACATAAGTTGGTCTTGTAGTATCCATCGGTTTTAATGGAAGCCCTTTAACAATATCGGCCATCGTAGTCTGATGTGTAGACCTTTTCTTGGTCAAACTTTCCTCTGCTATTGGTTTAGAGGCCTCGATCTCTTTGGCCACTTGTGGAAGAGCCTTTTTCCTTCTTTGCTTTTTCTTTACTTCCTGGAAACTTTCATTCTCCGTGGTCTCAATAATAGCGTGGGCATCGGCTAATAGCGGTTGTTCTTTAACGCATGGAAACTCCCGAGATGTCTGAGGTTCTGACAGTGGTCTTTGTATGGTTTTACTTTCCGACTTGAGTCCCTCGATAACCATAGGTACTGCTTTTTCCACTAATGCATTTACTATGATATCATACATTTCAGAGGAAGCTAATGTGTCCTTTACCACACGTTGTACTAAAAACGTTTTTTCATAGTTCTTATCATATATTGTCTCCATTATATCTATTAACTGCTGAATTTTCCCATTAACGTGCTTTTGTACCTTCGCACTCACGTTCCTGTCTGTTGCGTTCATGTAGACCCTGATGTTTTCTTTGATTCTACGTGCATCTTGCAGAAGACTATCGTCTACACGTTCTTTATCTGTTTCTTCTCGGGCGTCAGGAGATCCTTTCCTTTGCCTCTTTGCTGAAGGCCTTGGGCACTTTATAGCCTGTTCTTCCACCATTTCCTGCTCCATTGCTGATGCAATTTCATCAGCCATCTTACGCAATCCAAAATTAACAACTTTATACGTTGAAATAATGGGTGAACAACAGTAGAAGGAAATATTCAACACTCAAAATCTAACCTACGTTCGGGAAACTTATAAATTTCCTATCTTCAAAAGTAAGACTTTAATATGAACTTACCTTAGTGCTTCACCAACGTAATAGTCTCTAAACGTCCTTTTGGTTAGATTAAACCTTCGTGAAAACCACAAAGTTAACCTTAACCTCCACTGTTCACTCAAAAAGTTTATAAAATTAACTAAATAAACATAAACTAAAACTAAATCATGTTCAAAAAACTATAAAACACTAAAATAACACAAACAGTAGGAAACGATACAACAAAACTAACAAAACAAACTTGAAAAATACAAAACACTGAGAAGCACAATAACACTTTATCATAGGTAGATAACCTTCTATATGTATATAATCCCACCAGGTTGCTCTGAGGTGGTCACTGAGAGTACTGTGCAGTCTCTCTATACTCCCCCTACTCTTAGGGTGCCCTGGAGTGTTGAAATGCCACTTTACCCCTAAGCTCTTCATTTCCTCTCTGATCTTGGCATTGTCGAATTCCCTACCCCCATCGGACGTTATGCGTTCGGGCACTCCGTAAAATTGGAACCACGTCTGAAGGGCTCCGAAGACTGTCTCTGCTAATCGGTCCTGCACCAGGTATGCCATTGCGGCTTTGCTAAAGAGGTCTATGAGCGTGACCCACTTGTACCCTTTCGATGTGAACGTATCCACCTGCAAGTGACAGAGCGGTGCATCCACTGTGGGTGTCTCCTCCTGCATTGTTCTGGGGGGGGGTGTCTATCATATTTCGTACTTAGGCAAATCTCGCACGCCCCTATGAGTTCTTCTATTGTTTTCTTCATACCCCACCAAAAATACCTACGACGTAACGCCTGGAATGTCTCTTGCGCTCCGTGGTGGTTCGTTTTGTCCTGATGGTAAGCAAGAGTCACTTCTTTCTGTCGTTCCTCGTCCCGCACCGTGTCCACCATCAATTTACAACGGATGAAGGTTCTATCTAGCCCTATTTTTCAGATCGCCATATTTTCTTTATTTTTTTCCAAATCGTTTCGTTCCCTACGTACAAGTGGTGTGTTTTCCCTGCCTTGGACGCCTCTCTCAGCGCTCTACAAATCTGATCCTCTCTCGCTCCTGGCTGTGACCAAATCGTTGTTATCCTGCTGTTTCCATACTTACCGTACTGCACCTTAATTAGGCCGGTAGTACTGGTCTTCCAGATTATTTGGCGATTTTTGTCATTGATAATGTCTTCCAGCTCTTCCATATCCGCTGATTTCTCTTCCTCTAGACTCCCATCTTCTTGGGAATCATCTCCAATCTGACCTCCCTCTCCCTCTGGCGTCCACTCACTCAGGAACTGTCTCACATCCCTGGATGATTCTCCCGTGTAATCTTCTATAGCGTATATAGTTATTGCACTTGACAACCAATCTGCCACCACGATCTCTTTCCCAGGTTTGTATACGATATCCAGGTTGGAATGGTTCAAGAATTCCTTCCAGCGTGTGACTCTATCCGAGGACTCTTTCAGCTTGCCTGCCCATTGTAAGGGTCTATGGTCTGTATGCACCCGGAACTTCCTCCCAAATACGTAGGGTCTAAAATGGTCGATCGCACACACAATCCCCAACAATTCTCTTTCCAGCGCGCTATATCTGGTTTCCGCGTCCGTAAGCCGTCTTCTGGCATACGCTACGAGGCGCTCCCCCCCCATTCCCTTCTTGGGACAACACAGCCCCCAACGCGTATTCGCTAGCATCTTTAATGGTGAACACTTTTGAAAAATCCGGAAATGCCAACACTGGTTCCTCTTGCAGTCGCGCCATGCATTTCCGAATGTTGTCCTCCATTATAGAGGTCACTATTACCTTTTTGCCTTTCTTTAATAAGTTGTTAAGGGGCACGAGGTATTCCGCCATTTCGGGTACAAATCTTCTATAATAGTTGAGGGTACCCAACAGCCTGCGGATCCCTTTGACATCCCGAGGTATCGCTATTTTCCTAATTGCCTCTACCTTTTGCGCGTCTGGTTTGATTCCCTCACTCGAGATCGTGTGACCTAAAAAATTTATGCGGTCTTGCCCTAGCACCGACTTCTCGTTGGACAATTTCAACCCAAATTGCCTCACTCTCTCGAATACACTCCGTAGGTGTTCCACATGCTCTGCCTCGGTTTTGCTAAACACCAACAAATCGTCCATGTAAATTTGACAGACCACTTCATCGATCCCTCTGAGAAACTCGTCCATCAACCGCTGGAATGTTATAGGGGCATTCTTGAGACCAAACGGCATCCTAGTAAATTCGTAGTGCCCTCTCTCGAATGTAAACGCCGTCTTCGGCTGGTCTTTTGGGAGCATTCTAATTTGGTGGTATCCCGCCTTTAAGTCTAGAGTACTAAACACCGTTGCCCCTCTTAGTCTATCTAAAATGTCCTCAAACTTCGGGATTGGATATTCCTCATCTACCGTATTTTCATTCAATTTGCGGTAATCGATTACAACTCGGTATTTCTCCTTATTCTCTCCAGGTGTGCTGTTCTTCTTTACTGCCCATAGCGGACTGTTGTAAGGCGACGTGCTATCCACAATTATGCCCTGGTTCTTTAAGCTCTGCAACTCTTCCCTAATGTGTTGACGAAGCGCCTGCGGATATCTCCTCTCTTTCACGTAGCTCACCATTTCGTGCTTTAATGGGATCTCGTGCACCGTTTTACCTGTCACCCCCAATTTATCCCCCTCCTTAAAGAAAACGTCTTCGAACTCCCTTCTCACTGTCACTCTCCAATCCTCGGCTCGACTTATAGCTCCTATGCGCGCCCTATCGTCCTCATGCTTTATTGCTGCCAACTCGTATAATTAACATTCCCTATTATTTTTCTCCACTTCTTTCTCATATTCGCGATTCGCACGCCCACCTTCCCCAGCTTGTCACAACCTATAATTACCTGGTATTCCCGGGGCATTTCTCCCACCACATGCACCGTAAGTTTACCTCCCTTGACTGCCCATCCCCTCAATCCTATCTCCACTTCCCCTTCTACTCCACACGGGCCACCCAGGGTGATTAACTTACAACTACATACCTTGATTTGGAGTGTTCTATCTCCCCCATACAGCTTCTCCAAATCTCCACGCGTCATAATGGTATTGGAACTCCCGATGTCTACCAGGCACCGCAACCCTCTTGCCTTTATTATTGGTAACCAGCAGCTTTTTCCTCGAATGCTATAATTCCTCGAATGCTAGCGTGCGGTCACCTCTCGCCTGACACTCTCCTCAGATCCTCTCCACTGCTGGCCGCCGTCCACTTCTTCCGCTGCTTCTCCGCCCTTCTGGCCATTTTTGCTTCTACCTCCAGAGTGCCTGCTGTTTCCCGCATCTTCTACGTGATCCGATTATAATGAGGTATGAGTGTCGCAGCATACTGAACATTTGACTGCCGTGAAGACCTCATCTCACGGAACATCTGGAAGATGTCTTCCTCGGTCGTCCACCTGCCGCCTCCATAGGCTTTCTTCAGTCGTTCCTTGACCGTCTCCCACGACGTCTCTTCATCAGCCTGAATGTGGTTCAGGATACTTCTTTTAACCCTGCACACAAGCGCTGCCTTAAGGGCCTCCGCGTCTTCGATATTGACGAGATTCTCTTTTATCTTCGCATTGATCCTCGTCACGAGTCGATCTCCCCCTTTTACAAAGTGGTTCAGCTCACCTGTTTCTCCAGTGAAGCGCTCGAGATTGGATATAGCCTTTCTTAGATCCTGTGAAGTGGCTTCCCTGATCTTCATCCATTCAATCGCATTTGCATGCGCCGCGGCTGAAGTTCCCCACGGTAACGGAGGGATCTCTGGCACATTCATAGGAGCCGGCTGCCTCAGGTCGAATTCGGGCATCCTCGTAACAGTTTTTTTCTGATTGAGAAAAAAAAAACGCACCTCTTTCACCGTCCCGGGTTTCGGCACCAGTGAAGCGTAGCGGGCTTGAAACACTTAAAAAAAAGTAATAGGTTTTAGAAATAACACGCATGAAGACGAAATCAAGACTAGTTTATTTCTCCTTCTAATCCTCTATAAATGCATTCTGAGATTGTTTACATCAATGCATTTGGTATTAACGCTAATACTGTCCCGCTCCGTATATTAACGCTCCGTACCTTAATTTATATATATATATATATATATAATATATATATATATATATATATATATATATATATATATATATATATATATATATATATATATATATTTATTTATTTATTTATTTATTTATAAAATGATATTATATAATATTGCTTTATTTTATTTTCTTTATTTAATGAAATTTACAACTGTATAAACAATAAAACTAGTAAAAATGCACACATTGGAAATAATGACATGAACAGATTTGAAGAGATACTGCCCAGTGGTAGAGAAGATCACGTGGCCATCTTCTTTTCAGAAGCCTAGGGGGATTATCAGGAATCGAGGAAGAAGCAAGGCTGGAAACAAGTAGATTTGGATGGAATCAACGACATATATTATTACTTAAATCTTAAATATAATATATATATATATATATATATGAGATAACTGATAATGATATAAACCATTAATTATTTATTTAAAACATAAAGTAATACAAGCAGCTTAAACGAAAGTTTAGACTAAGCATTAAACGTAGATAGAAATCGATGGCAAAACAGAGAGCTGAGCTGAGCCGTTAGGTCCGCACTGACCAAGCGATGAGAACTGCAGCAGCGAAGTCAGCTTCTGTTGGCTAAGCTTTTCTTATTGGATAATGGTCTTCTTATATAACCAGTCTTCTATGTTTCTGTTACATCATATAACAATATGTATGCATGTTCTTAATTCTGTAGTATTAACATTATAAGAAAGAAGTAATAGACAACAATAGTATTTTTTTTTTCTCCATAACCTTAAATTTTACGTTGAACATTTGGTAATT